ACGCTCTTCCGATCTGTAAGGATAATGACAGTATTCGCTTTTTGTGATTCCCTCGCTCTACTACGGTATCAATTGGTGGAAAAAGCTGTTGTGTCTATGCGTAATCTTAATGGACGCAGTACGTGGGGGCATTTTGCTTGTTCCCATCAATCACCACCGATGTGACCTGCATGGATGAGATGTGCAGAATCGTGTGGATCTGTGCAATAGTATGACTTTGCTTATAATTGTCAAGTGTACATGTCGTAGTTGAACAAACACTGGCAACAGAAACCGGCAAAAATGCAAAATGCCCTCACCCCCGCTGAGCCGAACCGCGCCCTCAAATGAGATCACGTACATAAATTGCTCAGTGCTATCCTTGGTACTCACTCGAGCAAGAAATTCACGTAACGTACCCATGCTGAATCTAAAGAAACAAGATCGACTCCACGTTGCAACATCGCCTTGAACTTGAGCGTCAGGGGAAATGGAACCCGTGTGGTAACGAAGCCAGAAAACGTCCAGTTAATCCATCCTCCTACGACAATCATTGGAATCTGAAAGTAGTCGGATATTACTTTTTTCATCTGGTGCATTTCGTCTATTTGTAAGGAAAGGCAAATGATAATACCATGTTCATCATATTTCCCTTCAACATTTCCGTCATTTGACTTGGATCCATCGGATTGGGACCTTTGCTTGGACGTTGCATCGCTTTCGACAAGTAGCCTGAAACGTTCCCAAGTGAGAATTGCAATGCTTCCACGACTGTGGGCCATGAACCCTACCATGGTCCTCTGCTGAAAGGAAATTCCGCCTGGCGTTGAACGACGACCTTGGCAGAAATCGTCCATTTTCTCGGAGTAATCGTGAACGAAGTAGATACTGCCCATCAGCGACATTCTCTAGCTCCACCTTAAACCCATCATTTAACACTGTATTATTTACAAAAAGTGAGCCGCTGCGGAGAGGGATAGTTCTGCAAATTCCTGTCAAAAGATACAGCCAATGCAGACGAATAAGGCGCCTTGAATTAGATTGGGCTACGTTCATACTTCGCAGCAGCGTCCACCAGCGTCTAAGGAGTATGGGGAAGTAGGAGGGTAGCAGAAAGCTGGATTAGGCGTCGTGAAATAGTGCGACCTTGCAACCGCAGCAGCAACTGCTAAAGCACAGAATTATGTAGTTTAATGCACGGTATAGTGTATTTGTACGGTGCGGCTGCACACATCACAATTTGCGACGGCTAATCCGCTGTCTGCTACCCTCCTACTTCCCCATACTCTCTATCCTTGGACGCTGGCGTTCGCTAGATCGATATCTACACTCTCCTAGTTTCTGGCGCTGGTGTACGCTCGAGAAGCTGGTGGACGTTGAGGCATAGTATGAACGCAGCCTTCTAAGCATGTTATTTGCGACTAAGCATTCAAAAATGTGGGAAAACAGCATTATCTGTTACCTTTTTCTTGCTCATTAGCAATAACGATACATAATGTCGGAGCACGCCAATCATAAAGGTGATGACAACAATTGGCAGGAATACCCAGGTGCGTATGGCCGGATCGAGAAGTAAATCCGTCATTCTGCAAATAACATTAAGTAATGTGTAAGAAACGAAGAAGCACGACGGCCTGGTGACCAGGAAATGAAAATTGACGAAAAATGAAGGGACGGAGAGCACAAACGCATAGGTTTCCCATGTAAGGGCTCCTCTTGATTGGTTCATCTCCGTCCACTGTGCTGAAATATGCTTCAACTGCTTTCCCTTTTCAGGCATAGATTTGGTCTCTGGAGCCCACAGCTACGGTTTTTAGCCTTGTGTGCTTTACCACAAAACGCCTAAGCTTACAGGAGGAGTGCCCCAATTTATTACCAGAGGAAAGCAAGAGTTCATCCCATCCACATGGGTGTGTTCAGGATCAACATCCGCGTTACAAGCTCTATTGCGACCCCGCCAAAGCCTTCTCTACGACATCCCTCTATGTCCTATGGAGTATATGGAGCATAGAACCTCTCACGACTACGAAAACTAGTTTAAAGTGGGTTTGATTCATTTTCCAAAAAATATTATCCGGAAGACGAAGAAAGGAAATGACACAAAATCCTCGCATCCACGTTTTGCCGACTTCAAGCAATTTTTGGCGACACGAGGAGGAGGCGGAGCATTTTCCACCTTCGCTTCTTCACTAGTTCCGTTTTACGGACCTCACTCTGGTGAGATCTGTGAACTCTCGTGAACGTGGTGGAGACAAGCTCGTCGAGTCACCATGATAAATAGCATTTGTATGGTATTTTATTCTATTACAAGAACTGGCAGGTGGTCTCTACAAACTTTTCCTCGCATCCTGGTATTCGTGGCTTCACAAGATTTAGATGAAGATCTACATGCCGATGGGAAATAGTACAAGTGCAAAATACCCCCCCCCCGCCCACCCTCCGTCGTCAAACAGCGCCCAGTTCTCCTTCCAACTCGCCATGGCCGTTCCAGATGGGATGTAGAGTCCCATATGAGTTTTCTGACGTTAATCTCAAACTGGACTCCAAAGCTGCTAAACGATTCGGGGAATTTTATGTACATTTTCCTGCCTGCGTCATTTGCGGAGGAGGAGGGGGGGGGAGAGCACGGCGTCTTTTGATGATGCGGACGAAAGGTGGCTTTATTAAACCGTCAGAACACAGAACCAAAGACAACTGTTTTCAGCATCATTCATAATAGATAATGTACCTAACGTGTGAAAAAAGACAGGTCTACAATACACCATGAGGAATGTAAAAATCCTTAATGCAGTCCCCACACAATAATTACTTCCAGTCGCCTTTCGTTCACCCTTTCCGAGTAATATGCCTATATGGCAGTGAAGGCCACTGCATGACGTCAGCTTTAGTGCAATCAATTTGCCCGCCATGCAAAAAATAGCACATTTGGAAACAGGTATTTTTTTATTTGAAAGTTACAGCTGGATAGCAAGCAAGAGTCTATGAGAGGTTATTCATAGGGAAATCGTAAGGTAGAGCGTCATGGTAACAACTGCACTGAGCTGGAGAGCACGATACTCTCCAGTTCTGTGCATTAACGAGATCAGAGCGGTAACGTGAACCGAGTACTGCGGCGCTCCAGTTTGCGAGACCGAGCACGGCGCCGAGGAAAAATTTTTCCTAAATACCACTCCCTAATCTTCACCCTCAGATACGGCCCCAAGTACTCAGCGGGATGGATATACAATTCGATCAAAAACCAGAAAAATTGTTCATCAAACGAAATACCACCCCTGTCAAGGAATTCCCGACGTACGCACAGCTTTGATAAAAACCCTTGCATCAATCAAAGTGAGCTGCGACCTCTTGAAGGTTTGCGGTGTCCTTATTGACTCTATATGGGCTCTCATGGGCTTCCACATACCTAATCAGCCAACTGGGCACTTACTGATAGGATCAGCGCATTCAAATGCTTATATCACAATGGGTCAAAGTGAGGTTAATTAACCAGCTTGAATGAAGCTACTACGCACCCGATGGCAAGGGAAGGGGCAGTAGACCCATATTTTTTTGAAATCTAATCTTCGTAGTTTCCAAACACGTCCTATTCACACATACCCTTACATTATCTTGGCACAGAACAATATTTGGACGAGCAGTATCGCGAATAGCTGTCCATGCCTACAAAAGCGCAATGGTCGAAACGTCAACGAACAAAGGCCAGTACTGTGTACTTACGAGGGAGGGCTTTCAGGAAATTAAGCACTCTTTAGGAACCCTTTCGACACCCTGAAGAACTACCAGTAGTGGTACTTTCGCGTCGACACCGACTGAGAGGTGGAGGGGGTACGTCTGAAGCGGGCAAAATCTCCAATCAGGAAAGAACGTTCCAGGCCAAATACGACCCCCGTTACGGATCCCCAACCTACGAAGTGCCCCGAACAATATATAGGGGCACAATGAGCCCTTCAAGAAAAAAGCATCTGCAATTATGAAAATTGTCTGAAGGCCATATCAAGACACACTTTGAGATATGCACAAAATCGAATCGGTTTTAAAACAAAACAGTAGACCACAGCAAAATATATCTATTTTATACAATCATTTGCATCACACGCACTGACTACATCAAGACAAACAAATCATGCAAGAATAAACCTACTGTACAGTGAAGGATTACAAAAAAATCAACACTGAAATCGATCAGTATCTCGAACTGTACCTCCACTACGCCATGGTTTTCATTTTGATAACAGCTTTGATTCAGAAACACAGCTAGTGAGGCAATCTCAGGCGAAGGAAAGGAAAACCAAGATTATGAGGCACCATCATGGGATATGGTGACATGAAATTTTTGGGACGACAAAACAATTTGAAGAGAAAAGTAAAACAACATTGAGGATTTCCTTCCCTTATAAGTTGAAAGTTAAAATCCATTTTCCAGCTTGCCAGCTAGCAACGGTGTCGACGAATGAACTTGGACAACTATTTACAGGTAGCAATATGAAAAACGTGAGAATCAGAATCGCGCTTAACGGGTACAATAAGTAGCAGCTGCTTTATCGAGTCCTTTTCAAAACATAGACGTTTCTCAGTATTAGGTGAAATAGCTGGTCAGCTAATCTATTTTAGAGATGATTATCAAGCAGTAGTTAAGCCATGGTCAAAATGGAACCCTAAATAAGCAGTCTGAGGAGGACTCAGATATTTTTGGTTGCGAAATTGCAGTTCAGGTCGGAAATTATTCGACATCGACCAATAGAATGTATCCTATATATGTATGACTTTCAAGGAACAATTTCCTTCAACAGGTGGAATCAAGGACGTGCTTCTGCCGCATTCTGTGACAGAATAGCTAATCAGATCACAACTGCTCATACTGAACAACGAAGATGAACAGCTCATTGCTACGTGATTGATCCGAGAGGCTGGCACGTAAGAGCAAGTAGCATGATGTGCTGTGTACATTACCACTGACAACACTGCGACCATGTTGAGCCAATAGGTGTCGAACCGCCTGCGCCGAGACGGAAAGTTTCATTGCTGCTGGAATGAATTCTATCACGAGGAAGAGAAAAATCGAGAAGATGTAAATATCAAATTTTCAAATATTTCGTGACAAAGTAAAGTAAACGATCACGAAATCACCTAAAAAGTTCAAGGTGTTTTGGTTTTCTCCACATTTCATGGACAAGGAATAGGGAGTGGAGCACTGAGGAAGGCGGGTGAACCGAATGTTTCGCAGAAAAACGGTACTGTTTCTTCGTGATAAATGGTTAGCTTAACTCGGAATCCCTCGTACGTCATTTTTTAGGTAATTTTGCTTTTTTGTGTACTGAAATCTAAGAAACGATTTTATGGTCGCTACACGAGTTCTTCCGTTTGGCTCAAAGGAGAGACGCATTCTGCTAGTTTATATCGATGTGGATGATTTTCTTGTTTTGATCACCACTACTGCAGAGCACTTTTCCAAAGTCATTCAAGCCGTTCATGAATTAAGCAGGACGAAGGCGCTGGAGTGGCGTTAAAATTTGCTATGGGGATTTCGCCTGAACGGTTCAAAGAAAGCAGTTTTGATCTTGAGAGCGCACCTTTCCGACCAGCTCTCAGCTGTTACCTACCTTACACACGGAAAGGGAACATTCGCAAATTCGCATGAATTCTTTCAACGCTCTGATGTTACTTTGCACTAGTGAAGTAGTAGTTTTATTACAACTCACGCAGAATCTCGATGAATCCCTTGATCGTATTGACGTTTCAAGATTGTAGCCAATTCCAGAAAAGCTGCATCAACATTGACATTGTTTTTAGCACTTGTCTCAACCATCAATATCATGCCTAGAATCCATTACATTAATGCAACTTAAATTACATCGCGAAAATTAAAAAAAAATGATAAATACGCGTAAGAATGCTATAATGCTTACCGTTTGCCCTCTGCACCAATTCACCTTCTTCTCTTTCAACAACTCGCTGTTCTTCAAGGTCACATTTAGTTGCTGCAAAAGGAAAAAAGAAGAATTCAAAAGGTAATTGCCGTCAATTTCAATGCAGAAAATTAGAAGAAGAAAGGGTACCCACCAACTAATAGCTTTACAACATTTGGTGCAGCAAATTTTGAAACGTCGTCAATCCACCTGAACATGATCATATATTTTCACGATGCAGATGCTAGCAGATGTAAGTGTAAGAGGTCTAAATATAGGAGCAAGCACGGAAAGGCATATATCCCTGCTCAATTTTCCTGCAATCTTGACATTGAATTGTATATTCTACCTTTACTGGAGTAGAGATCAAGCCAAACCGTACTTTTGTCGATCAATATCGTTGGCTGTTTTACGAGTCCAAAGGAACTACGTTCAGCTCTGTTGAAGCATAACGAGGGGGGGGGTGGGGAGGTATACGAAGGGTATCTCCAGCTAAGGCAGTCGTGTTTCCAATCACGTAGTAAACTAGACTAAACTGACTAAGAATGTTTTCGGGTCACCAACTTCCGGCCTCGGTTTTTCCTGTTTCAAGTGCCCCCCTCCTCGCTCGACGGCAGTTTTTTAGGAGAGTTGAATTCTGAGAGAAAAATAGGCGAGTTTAGGATTTGAGGGAAAAAAGCTCAGGAAGAGGTAGGAAAGGGAAAATTTTAGGGAGATGAAAGGGGGCCTTATTTTACATGAAATTCACCCAATGACAGGACGTGTCCTGATAATCATGTTGAAACGTTCATACCACAATGGAGAAAGAGAAATTCTTCCTGTTTTCCGTAGTATTCTATCCTGTTCACAAAAAAATGGAAACAGTGAGCCAGGATTCCGGGACTCTTGCGAATACTTGTTCAGTTAACTGTTCAGAAGATCTCTGTATCCACTTTAGAACGGTACCACTGCAGCAAGTTAGTCCTCTTCACGTATTTTTTAGTTAGCAAATCCGAAAAAGTTTAAGACATAAGATCAAAAGAATACCTTTGCAAACTGTTGAACGATTGTTTGCATGTAATGTCGTAACACAGAACAATACCATTCGCCGATCGATAGTATGACTGCGTTATAGTACGGAATCGTTCCTGGCCACCAGTGTCCCAAATTTGCAACTTTACACGTTTGCCATCTGGAAAACAAAAGGGAAATAACGTGAGGTTCCGGAACTAAAGTTTGGTCGCAGTTTATAGTATCTTCAGTATTTTCATGTCAAAATATTGATAGGCACCAAAAAGTTCCATTGGAAAAGGCTCCGAAGATCCAAAAAAGGAGACCAAAATTTCTGTAAAATAAGTCTTCCTTTGAATGTTCCGGTACTTGAACCTTCCTCAACGATCTGAAATACAGCAGTTAGTAAAATGGGCTGTTTTTGTGGCCTCACTGCTGACCTGAACTCTGCCTCCGTTTATATGCAGTGTCTACCTTCACGGGGCCTCGCCTACAGCTAGCTACTCCACACCAACGGAAGCAGGGTCGAGATCAATTTGAAGCCAGCAGAAAAACAGTGAATTCCTTCGATTTCTGTACTTTGGAACGCTGAAGAAGGTACTTATCACAGAAATGTTATGAGAAATATGATTTTGCTAGAGCTTTTAGACTCCTTCTTGCACGTTTGGAGCTTTTGCAATGAAATTTTTTGGTGCTCTTCACATTTAGATATCAATAAAGCTCCGAAACAGAACGATATTACAGTAGCTCTAGCCTTACAAAACTGTGAATACTTCTGACGACTTCTTCGATTAGGATTTTGATTCGAAAATTAAGTTGCTCTCCACTTTATTAATGAAAGGGGCTAGTCAACTTGGGAATGGCGAAGTTGGCAAGTTTGCCATGAGATTCTGTAAGAGTCGGCGCAGCTGCGTAAAAGTGGCACCGGTTTCATGTTGCCTGCTATACTTGCTATGCAAAAAGTTGTTTTCGCATTTTATGGGAACCGATCCACCTAACCTTTACTTGCTCGTCGCATCGCAACCCCCCCCCCCTTCCATTTCTAGTCCATTTCGTTTATTTCTAGGTACTCCAGCCTCGTGGAAAACAGATTTTACGTAGCTACGCGATTACTCCATAAACAGCAATTGACCCAGAAGAGCGAAAGTGCCTGGTGCTTCGTTTACGAAAAATTGTGTTCTATTGGAAATGTTCAAATTGGAAATGTTACAGTTAGTTATAACCAACCGCGAAGTTCAAAGTTAACAGCACCTTACACGACTTTAGAAAAATAGATGTTACTATGGATAAATTTGCCCAGCCGTAGATAAAACCTCACAAAACGCCTCCCCCCTCCCAAACGAAATTGCGCGAAAAAAAAGAATCTTTGTAAGATTTCTTACCTATTACGAGTGTTTTCATAGTAAAGTCCACGCCTATGGTTGTTCCTTGTCTATCTACATAAGTACCATTTCGAAAGCGCTGAACCACACACCTGAAAAAGAACTGAACTGAAAGAAAGAATACAGGAAGAACTACATTGTAGTTAACCGAATTAAGGATATAAATTAGTAAGTATAAAGAAAATAATGGAAAAACTAGAGATAGTTGGAATGATCCAAAGCATCATCATTAAAAACTGTCAGAAGAAGAAAAGAAGCAGTTTATGAGGGAGGAGGGCATTCTGTACTTCTACAGCGTCTCACTCACTGACGTGTCGAGCCATCAAGCGGAGATCCATAAAAATGGCTAACCACAAAATGAACACAGCCAAAGTTTATGGAGACCACCTGCCAACTCTCGCGAAAGGTACCAGTTTAGCCTTGTAAATTCATGACTAATTTTTAAGAGCTATTTAATGAGCTTACAATAGTTGACAGTTTCTACCTAGTGGCTCAGCCAGATTGCTTCCTGCACCCCCCCCCCCCCATCGCCGAAGTGCGCCGAAAAAATTACTGGAATCGTCAGAATAGAATGACTAGGAAATCTGAACATCGAAAACAAATTAAGCGCGAAGAAAAGAATTTGTCAGCATTTCTCTCATGTTCTTTTTTCACTTCTACACAATGTGCCCCTTCCCTCTCTACTCCATCGAATAATGACGTCATCTTTTCTCCCCAGTTTCAATTCCATCCTTTCTCTTGTTCTTCTTACGCCACTGTTATAGCCAACATAATGTTCCGTTCTTTCCAATATAGCGCGTTCTTTTGGTAGCATTATAAATCAGTAAATATATGTAAGTTTGTGATATCAACGAATTCTGGGTAACAAAATCGGTAAGATTATGAACAAAAATCGAATTCACATGAAAAATGCGGAGATGAAGCCAATGCAAGCTGAACTTACGTTTTGCCTACTCCCATATCTCCAATAAGTACAATTTTGAATAAATAATCAAAGCCATCATCTCCATCCATTGCGAACTGAGTACTGGCACGATAAACACCAGCTAATTACTTATATTCATAAATAAAAATTTTCGACTGAAACAACAATATATCGATAAAGAAGCAGTTGAACAGCTCTTTATAGCCAAATGCAATGAAGCCGCGCGCAACAGCGGCCACATGAGCGAAAATCGCAGAAATATCGAACATTTGCTTCGTTCTTCATCGTTGTACACCACGCGGTAAGACATAATGAGCATTGAAGAGAGCGCAAAGAGCGTGTTCAAACATTAGTATGCGACGCCTAATTACGTCTTGGAGCAAGTACCGTAATCAAAAATCGGCCCAGACATGCGGAATGATGCGAGGATTAGTTTGTCAATACGCAGATTGCTCTTGAGCAGCAAAGCAGATTGGTTGGATTGCCATCGAATCGCACACATCGCAACTTGCGGGGTCGATGAAATGGATATTTAATTAGGCCAATAATGTATGCAGGGCTGAGCGTGATGAAGGCTAGGCAACGTGGAAGCGAGGCAAACCCGCCAATTTAATCTCCTCGTTCCTGTATACTTCGCACGTAGTTTTGCACCTTCCCTCCCCCCGCTATTTACGAATAGAGAGCGCTATTTGCATTCCTTTCCTGAGCGGTTTCACTCATTTTCAACGCCATCGCTACTTTGAAGAACATGGTTGTCAGTTACATACCTCATCTGACCAATAGCTATATACCTATAAGTCAGTTCGTAAAGTTTGAAACTGATGAAATAGACGAAGCACACCTGACTGTTCAACTAGGTCATTAAGCTCAAAGGATACCGCCTCAAAGACACGCCCTGCGTATATCTGATGTTTAGCCGCCTTTTTTGGACATGGTAGTCCCGCATGCAAGCATTGAGGATTTACTACTTGCAGTTCAAAAATACGCGACAGAAGCACGAGCCGCGACGGAATCATGGCCCCTCCCGCAAGCATCGGCTACACACAACTTTCATTTTAAA